ATCATGCATCATGTTCTGGAAATAAATCGTGAGACTTTTTGCCGAGATCTCGCGAGAGGTCACGGAAACCTTTCCAATGAATGTTAAATATTAATGACAATTAGATATTACATATAATTTGCTACTAAAACAAAGGGTTGCACGGTTTATTGGTGCAAATGAGTAGTGGATTAATTTTGCATTTATTTTGTGCAACATTTGCAAATGCTTTTTATCACTTAATTAGAAGCACCACTAAATTAAATTGTCGTCTGTTATAGAGACACTGAACAGACATTTAGAATTTGATTTTAAAATGCAAAGTATTGAAAATAAAAATAAAGCTCTGTAAACACTTGCATTTTTACAACACTATAAGTGTGTCCTATCAGGTAATGAAAAGTTCTACACTCACTTGTGGTCTTCATGCTCACTTGAACACTTGGACCAAATACAGGAAATACGTCATATAAGTAGTTAAGTGGTCAAGTGCAAAGACCGCAAGTGCGGGTATTTGGACAAGGCATAACTAAACACAGTTGGAAACAAGCAGACTAATGACAAGGGGAAACAGGAACAGGAAACCAGTAAAACTACAACATAAAAGTCCACATTACAAAGCAAAAGCACAAAGGCACAGAATACATAACAGATGTTCTTACCTGCGGTGCTTTAGTGGGGTTCTTGAGCTGGCACTGTTTCTCCAGATGTGTGATTAGTTGGCTCTGGTTGCTCACTAGAGAAGTGAGTGCATCATACTTCTTTTCCAGCTCTCTGTAACTGCTGGACACCTGAAGCACCTGTCAGGATTTGCCATCGCACAGATGAAAAAAAAAAAGATCCAAATATTTGAAAAGTAGAAAACTTAACGCGTGGTCTAAATAACTTTCCATAAAATGAATGCATCAATACATCCCTGGTGAAAAACAAGTGTGCTTGAATGTGCAATTGTAGTGTACTTCGAATCTTAAAATTTATTTGCAAAAAAATGTATGCAGATAATATAATTGTATATTTTTAGTGTAATGCAATATATTTTTTATTATAACGTGTATTGCAGATAACATAATATTAATGAAATAAAACGCCACTTAAGTGTATTTAAAGAGACCGTAAACTTTCATTACTGTTTTTAACACATTTAAAGTGTGCTTTGTATATAATGTCACAATAAATGTTTTACTTTACAGTATTAATTTATGGTTTAAATAATAATGTGTCATGCTTTAAAGAAGCGTGTTATGCATTATTACATTTAAATATTACTTTAAAATGTAAAATTAACCTATTTTAATTATGTACTAAGTTACAACTTCATTATTACAAATGTGTGTTTACAAATATACTGAAATACATGACATATACATTTTAAATAGAAATGGCATTGACATATTTTAGTTCACCATAAATGCTTGTCAAAAGATATGCTTAAATGGGTCAAAAAATCACTCAAAAGTTCGACAAATTGCTTCACTTATGTCACTTAAGTACATTTTCTTTAAAGTATATTGCTTCCATAAAAAGTACTCTTATTAAAATACACTTTTTTCTTTTTTTTTTAGTTTGTATTAAAATCTATGGCTTTTCATTGCACATTTTTGTATTGTGGCAAATCTGTGCAGCTTGAGACATTCCCAGTGAAAAATCTGAGAAGCAGGAGACTCCATTTGATCTCACTTGCATCTAGGAGAAACAACCACACTTGTGGTCTTCATGCTCACTTGAACACTTGGACCAAATACAGGAAATACGTCATATAAGTAGTTAAGTGGTCAAGTGCAAAGACCGCAAGTGCGGGTATTTGGACAAGGCATAACTAAACACAGTTGGAAACAAGCAGACTAATGACAAGGGGAAACAGGAACAGGAAACCAGTAAAACTACAACATAAAAGTCCACATTACAAAGCAAAAGCACAAAGGCACAGAATACATAACAGATGTTCTTACCTGCGGTGCTTTAGTGGGGTTCTTGAGCTGGCACTGTTTCTCCAGATGTGTGATTAGTTGGCTCTGGTTGCTCACTAGAGAAGTGAGTGCATCATACTTCTTTTCCAGGTCTCTGTAACTGCTGGACACCTGAAGCACCTGTCAGGATTTGCCATCGCACAGATGAAAAAAAAAAAGATCCAAATATTTGAAAAGTAGAAAACTTAACGCGTGGTCTAAATAACTTTCCATAAAATGAATGCATCAATACATCCCTGGTGAAAAACAAGTGTGCTTGAATGTGCAATTGTAGTGTACTTCGAATCTTAAAATTTATTTGCAAAAAAATGTATGCAGATAATATAATTGTATATTTTTAGTGTAATGCAATATATTTTTTATTATAACGTGTATTGCAGATAACATAATATTAATGAAATAAAACGCCACTTAAGTGTATTTAAAGAGACCGTAAACTTTCATTACTGTTTTTAACACATTTAAAGTGTGCTTTGTATATAATGTCACAATAAATGTTTTACTTTACAGTATTAATTTATGGTTTAAATAATAATGTGTCATGCTTTAAAGAAGCGTGTTATGCATTATTACATTTAAATATTACTTTAAAATGTAAAATTAACCTATTTTAATTATGTACTAAGTTACAACTTCATTATTACAAATGTGTGTTTACAAATATACTGAAATACATGACATATACATTTTAAATAGAAATGGCATTGACATATTTTAGTTCACCATAAATGCTTGTCAAAAGATATGCTTAAATGGGTCAAAAAATCACTCAAAAGTTCGACAAATTGCTTCACTTATGTCACTTAAGTACATTTTCTTTAAAGTATATTGCTTCCATAAAAAGTACTCTTATTAAAATACACTTTTTTCTTTTTTTTTTAGTTTGTATTAAAATCTATGGCTTTTCATTGCACATTTTTGTATTGTGGCAAATCTGTGCAGCTTGAGACATTCCCAGTGAAAAATCTGAGAAGCAGGAGACTCCATTTGATCTCACTTGCATCTAGGAGAAACAACTGAGGTAATGATGATGTTTCTTTACAGTAGGGAATGCTTTTAGCTACCTGGGCTGTTGCATTAAGCACCAAACTCTCGAGCCTCCATTGCTCCAAAGCCTGATCCTTCTTCTGGATGATCTCATTCAGCAGTTGGGCATAGAGTTGGGTGATGCGGGCGTTCATGTTGACGCTCTCCCTGCGCAGAACTCTCATCTCATTGGCCAGTGCGCCCTCCTGCTCCAGCTGCCCACGCATTGTGTCCAGCTGTTCCTGCTGCCGGTCCAGCAGCGCGCGCAGGGACGCCATCTCAGAGCGGTTGACACGAGCCGTCTCGGTGCTCACGCAAAGCGCCCCCGTTAACTTCTGTTGAGGTACGATGAAAGTGTAGGAACAGCGGCTCGGCTTATTCTCTGTTGCTCGAGACGGCCTTTTCTGACCTGCATCACCCTTGGAGGTGTCTGCGTTAGAGGCTTCCTGGCGGCGGCCCACACAGCAGGCCCCACCAAAAACCAGCAGGAAGACCACGGCACAAGTCACTGGAATTTCCATAAGTGTTGCGACTGAGCCAATAAACTGTCCAATATGATCCTAACAAACAAATAATACAATATCTTATATTAGCATTTTAAGACAGTACAAATTCATATGAATCAGCCACCAATTCACATACAAAAAGTAGTTTCAAACTGCCATGAGATTGTGTTGTTCAGACTTGATCTGACTTTTTAAAAAAAAGGTAATAAACAATTGTGACCCTGGACCACAAATCCAGTCATAAGGGTCAATTTTTGAAATTGAGATTTAGAAATAAGCTTTCCATTGATGTATGGTTTGTTACAATATTTGGTCGAGATACAACTATTTGAAAATCTGGAATCTGAGGGTGCAAAAAAATCGAAATATTGAGAAAATCGCCTTTAAAGTTGTCCAAATGAAGTATTTAGCAATGCATATTACTAATCAAAAATTAAGTTTTGATATATTTACGGTAGGAAATTTACAAAATATCTTCATGAAACATGATCTTTACTTAATACCCTAATGATTTTTGGCATAAAAGAAAAATCGATAATTTTGACCCATACAATGTATTGTTAGATATTGCTACAAATATAACCATGCTACTTATGACTTCTAATTTTCCAGTGAGCTAAAAACCTGCCTAAATTTTGACATTATAACCACCCACTCAGTCAGTCATGAACTGAAGAGGCCTGCAGTTTTGATGCATGCCAGATGTTCATGTTTTATGATGGGAGGTAAAACACAGTTTCGCCTTTTCTTGGGTTAATTAGCATGTCAACAGAAACAGAGCCTGAGTCAACCTATCATTTCATCTGATTGTCAAAATCAATAGCTAAAGTCAATACCGATGAAAATTACAGCTTTGGTACACATCATAAATGTCATAAGCAATTAACAAATCTAAACACTGACTGAGGCAACTACTCAAAACAGCTAAACAAAGCCTACTAAAAAGAACAGTGATGCCTATTAGAGAGGATACCTATTAATACCAAAGTTAACAAAAGTAATAGCAGTTTGTTGAAATTTTAAGCAAATGTGTCTAAAGTAATTGTGAGCTATCAATTAATAAATACTTTGGAAAAGTTTCACTTATGACTAAAATTGCATATATATTAAAAATATTTGGAGGCTCATTAAAATACCAAAGTAATACTTATGGGATATTTCAACAGAAGGATACACAATTGGTATGCTTTTTTTTTTATTTACAGTAGTTATTTTTTATTATTTTTTATTTGTTTAAAAGAAAACATGTGGAATATAACCATGATTCTGAGAAAACAAATCACAATTTGAACAGATATTTCTCTTACCTCCTTATATCACCAGATAATCTTCTCTTTTTGGATTTGGTCTCTTTTTAAAGTAATGCCTTGTCCTCCGACTGATGCAAACAAGATGTTCAGCTCCGAGCTTCTGATCTGTGCTCTTTATAACTAAAAGATTATAATGTCAATGAAAAATCACTGTCATAAAGGGAAACACGCCTTTGCTATTAATAATTGAGCGTAATGACTGCAGCAGTGGATGTCTGGTCGGTGCTCCGGCTGGTCTTCAGTGAAGATGTTCAAAGACAGTGGGCAGTGGGAGACACCCAGACTGACAGTGAACTTTTAAAGCAGGAAGATCAGCTCTTGTCAGAGGATCTCTAAACAAAGAAGAGTATAATTACAAACCATCCTAATGAGTCCAGCCCCCCTCCTTTCTAGTCCTACACAGGCCTGTCCCCCACACACAAGCACACCCACTACCCTCTCCTTCACTCCCAGTCATCGTGCAGACTGACCATGACTGTACAATATGTGACCCTGGAGCACAAAAGCAGTCATCAGTAGCACGGATATATTTGTAGCAATAGCCAACAATACATTGTATAGGTCAAAATTATCCATTTTTCTTTTATGCAAAAAATAATTAGGAAATTAAGTAAAGATCATGTTCCATGAAGATATTTTGTACATTTCCTAATGTAAATATATCAAAACTTCATTTTTGATTAGTAATATGCCTTGCTAAAAACATAATTTGGACAACTTTAAAGGCGATTTTCTCAATATTTTGATTTTTTTTGCACCCTCAGATTCCAGATTTTCAAATAGTTGTATGTCGGCCAAATATTGTCATATTCTTACAAACCATGCATCAACGGAAAGCTTATTTATTCAGCTTTCAGATGATGTATAAATCTCAATTTCAAAAAATTGACCATTATGACTGGTTTTGTGGTCCAGGTCAAAAAAATACAGCTCATTTTAAAAAAATAAAAAATTCACAATAGTGCAGCATTACAGTATGTGCAGGAAATGGCTAAAATGGACATGAATGATTACTTACATTCTATTGCTTTGAAAGTAAGATAACTGTAATGCTAGTTCTGTCATGGTGGGGACTTTCTATTGACTTCTGCAATTATGAGCTAATGATATGTGCATCCTTTACTACCCACACATCTAACTATTGAAGCTAAAATAAGATGATGTTTACAAGACAAAGTGTGATAACTAAACAACTAGGAATAAAGAAAAACCTTAACAAGGAAGAAAAAGAAAGCCGACAATACTTTAATGACTTACAAAGGTGCTAACTCACATCGAATTCTGAATCAGATCATAGAGTAATTAAATGAGAATGAATGAGAGTAATCAGAGTTCAGCAGTGGATATTTCCTTTAAATTGGATTTAAGGCTAGTAGGACATTCGAAACTTAATCGAAAGTTTAAAACCTGCCTAGAATTCTGTGCATGTGGTGAATTAAACCTACCAATGCAGCTACATGTAGTAATTCATCCCATCCAAAAGACGGCGCGTGTAAAACCAAACATCCAGCGTGCGCGCGTCGTGTAGTGCCTTGCTTCTGCGCATGCGCAACCAGGCCACATGGTTAGCAGCAGGGTTTTCAAGATGGTTGCTGGTTAACTAAGACTTGTGAGATATTTTAGCTCAGATATTCGTATTAAAATCAAATCAAGTAAAGTTCAGCTTTGTGCCCTCGGCTTGGATAAGTTGTGCTGTCCTTTAAAAAATGGGGAAAACAAAGGTAACGTTACGTGTTTAACTTGCATCCAGAGTTAAGTGCGGACAATGAAGTAACTTACAAGTCCGTCTGTCTTTATCTTTGCAAAATCTATTAATTTCGTTATTTGGAATGAGATTCGGTGATGTATATGTGTGTGTAAATAGGTACACATGTCAATGTGCTAACGCTTGGCAAAATAATGTATAATATCTTTTCAGCTTGAGCAGTTATGACGACACAAATTGAAGGTAAAATAATTCTATAAGCTACTTTCTGTTTTTGTCTCATAGACTAAGAACCAGAAGAAAGCCCGCGTGGCTGCCAGTCGTGTGGCCGAGGAGACTTACTCCACTGTGCCGCACACCTTCGTGTTTCACCGCGGACAGATCGGCAAGAACGTCGCTCAGCTCGTGGCAGACATGAGACGAGTCATGGAGCCCTTCACTGCCAGATCTCTGAAGGTGCACCTCACGATTGCTGCTGCTCAACTCTACTGTCAAGTCTCGTTTACACACTGAAACTGTTGTCTTGGTTTGCAGGTGCGGAAGAATAACGTCTTGAAAGATTTTGTTGCAGTGGCAGGACCATTAGGAATCACGCACTTCTCAATATTTACCAAAACTGAAAATACTATAAACATGGTGAGTGTATTTGTATTATGTAAAACGGATAGGGTGGTTCCTGGATGTTTATTTTGTAAAAAAAAATTGTAATTGTGTCTATTCTTTTTTTCAGCAGGGATTTTATTCCATTTTTATTTATTTTTTTAAATATTCCCAAAATATATCATGAAATATCTCGATTCTCAAATATGTGTGAGTAGATGCATTTAGCACCTTTATAGATTGTTAGTTGATCTATAATGGGCGATGGTCAAAGTAGCCTAATAGTGTAATATATTAACTTGCATTCAAATCCGTCTTTTTACTTAAGTACCAGATATGGGTGTCATACCATAAAATATTTTTAATACGACTGACTTTGTATTTAATGTGAATTTAATAAAAAACATTGTAAGTTACTAATTAGCCTATAGCACTTTCATTGTACAAAAAGAGAGCAAAGAACGTTTACATTATCAAAGAACATTTTCACTTCAGTCCCGCGAGTTCAAGCACTCTCAAAAACTCCCATAATAATCTCTAAAGCTGTTTACACTGAAATTAATATCCTACTTACATTAGTACATCTTCACATTGTTGTTTCTGATGAGAGAATTAGCCAGAGAATTCAGTCAGCCAGCGTGCGCGGTGATGAAACAGCGTGTTGCAGCGGTGACTCATCTGGACGCC